TATCTTACTATTCCATTCTGTGCTCCAGCTAAGCATGATTATTTGCTCTTCCTGAATCATTCCCTATACTTTCCATCCTTTGTGGCTGTGCTGGCACCATTCCCTTCACTTAGAATATTCTTCTTCATAGCCCTCCCTAATTCTTTTAGTAGCCTTCAAAGCCAAGAGCAAATGTCACACTTTCTCCACAATATTGTTTTTAACCCTTTCACTACTAAGTTATTGTTCTCTCTTCTTAATTGATATATTCACACTGTATCTTAGAGTTATTCATGTACCAAAGTTGGGTTGTAGCATACCTTAGGGAGGGGTCAGCCTTTGCCTTAACCACTTCCAAAGAAACAGCTCAGTAGTCAAGGAGTTGGGTGCTTTGGGTTGACAAAATAACTTCCTTATTGGCCAATGAACAGGAGCTGCTACAGACTTGATGGATCTTTAAAAGGGAATGAACCACCATTATCTCTCTCTTCTCTTCCCACCTATAAGTCATACCAAGGCTACTGAAGCCTATTTCTGAAGGGAGGTGTTTGTTGAAGAAAGGGCAGGTATACTTCTCTACTATGGGAGTAACAGCATACTATAAGCACATGGTAGCTAAAGCACATCTATAGGTTTAGGCAAACATAGTCCTGGGCTTTGGGATTGTGGAGTGTCTTCTGTTTTATTTCTTTTCAAGTATAGGTTACAGAACAGTAATCCTGAGATAGACATTTCTAGCTTTTTTTTTTTTGGCCAGGAGAGAAAATTATTTTATTTGTCAAATATCAGCTTTGGATACCAGCTATGCTGGTCCCTTGGGGTTTTTGCTTCAGTTTTTTGGTAATTTTTAATCTTTATTTATTTATTTATTTATTTATTTATTTATTTGTTTGTTTGTTTGTTTGTTTGTTTGTTTATTTAGGCAATTGAGGTTAAGTGACTTGCCCAGGGTCACACAGCTAGTGAGTGTCAAGTGTTTGGTCTGAGGCCAGATTTGAACTCAGGTCCTCCTGACTTCAGGGCTGGTGCTCTATCCACCACACCAACTAGCTGCCCCATTTTTGTAATTTTTAAAAAAATATTTAAACAAATACAAAATGAGAAAAGAAAAAGAAAATTACCATGTACACAGCAGACCATGAGAGAGGATTCAATATAAAGCAATAAATTTCCATTTCAAGTAAACCCATGTAATAAATACTACTCATTATTTTCAAAGCTAACCAGCTTTTCTTTGTTCTCTGCTGTACACTTTTTACTTTTTTTTTCTGCTCCCTTCCCCTACTACCCAAAGAAGGTGACAATTAAGTATGAATATATATATACATAGATATTGATAAACATATATATATATACACACACATACACATATACACTCATACATATATGTAAGACTGTAATGTGCTTATTTCCTTCTACCATCTGTTTATCTAAAGGTGGATAGCATCTTCCTTCATAAGTCCAAGTCTTTGCATGTTTTTTTAAGTCAACCAGCTCATCATTCCTATACTACTGCTATATTCCAACCCAATCACATCTTATCTGAGAGATTGTCTTTGAGAGTTCTTCCCCCCAAATTTCCTGCATTTCTTCTATTCTTGGATACATAGTTTTTATTTATACAAGAAAATTTTAATTTAAAATAATTGAAATTATTCTTTTTATGCTTCAACAATTCTCTCACCTTTTAATGTAGTTTAAGGTATGATACTGCTGAATTTACTTGCTTTACATCTTTTTCCCCTGGTTTTTTTGAAGTTTCTGATCTTTTGTTCTTCCAAATGAACTCTGTTATTTTTTTTCTAACTCAGTAAAATAATTTTTTAGTAATTTAATTGAGATGACACTGAATAAATAGATTAGTTAGGCAAAATTGTCATTTTAAAAATTATGTTGCCTTTACCTACCCATGAACAATAAATATTACTTCAATTATTTAGATCTGAGTTTATTTGTATAAAAGGTATTTTATGCTTGTCTTCATACATTTCCTGTGTCTGTTTTGGCAAGTATATGCTCAGGTATTTTATACTGCCTAAGCATTTTAAATGGTCTAAAACAATATTGAATAATATTGGTGATATATAGTGTAGCTTCTCTATTTTTCACTTTTGATTAAATCTATTTTAACTTTAACTTTGTCTGAGATCATTACTATCCCTGCTTTTTTTTACATGCTAAATTCTACTCCTGCCCCTTATTTTATCTTTGTGTGTATCTCTCATTTTTATATTTCCTGAAAGCAGCATATTGTTGAATTTAAATTATTAATCTGCTATCTATTTAGAATTTGTAGTATATTCATCTAATTCATGTTCTAAGCTACTATTATTTGCGTATTTTCCTCCTTCCTATTTTTCCTCACTATCCTTCTCACTCTCTTCCTATGCCCCCTCACTACTCTGCTTTACTTCCACTCACTACCTTGCCCTCCTATTCCTTAACCTACATCCCCTCCAAGAATCCCTCTTTTATCCTCTCCCCCCCAACCCTATCCACTTTCCCTCTTGTTTCTTACTGTTTTTAAAAGAGTTTTATACCCTTCTAAATATATATGTTGTTTCCTCTTTAACCCATTCCCATTAATCTACATACATTTCTATAGCCCCCTTATCCTGTTCTCTCTACGTCTTATTTCTTTATAATTTAGAATACTTTTATGCCCTTCTAAATGTGTATGTTGTTCTCTCTTTAACCCAGATCTGATGAGAATATGGTTCCAGCTCTACCAGACCTCCTCCCTCATTTGATTCCTGTTATCAGTTCCTCCTCTTATGCCTCATTTGTATGAGAAAATTACTTTTTACCTTTTCCTGTACCATCTTACTTTTTAGAATCACGTCAGACTCAGCTGTACCCCAATCTTTGTTTCAAACTACCCAATTACTAATGACAATCTTAGGCATACTGTTTACATTTCCACATATAAAAAATAAACAATTTGTCCTTATTGAGTCCCTTGAAATTGGTCTTTGGTGTTTACCTTATACTTCTCCTGTATTCAAATTTTATATTAAGTTCTGGTCTTTTTGTGACAAAATCCTGAAAGGCTGTCAATTCATTGAATGTCCTCTTTATATTCAGAATTATACTTAACTTTGTTGGCTATGGTATTTTTGGCTGCAGGCCCAGTTCTTTTGCTTTTTGATATATAGTGTTCCAGGACCTGTGGCCTTTTAGTGAAGCCACTGCTAGGTATTGTGTAATTTTAATTGTGGCTCTGCAGTATTTGAATAGTTTTTTTTTTCTTGTTGCTTATAATATTTTCTTCTTAACCTGGGGGTTTTGGAATTTGGCTATGATGTTCCTATTGGTTTTCATCCTGGGATCTCTTTCAGGTGGTGATCAGTGGATTTTTTCTATTTCTATTTTCCCCTCTTGTTCTAGAACTTCAGGGCAATTATCTTTAATTATTTCTTGTATTAGTGTATCAAGATTCTTTTTATTGTAGTTTTCAGTTAGTCAGATTATTCTTGTGTTTTCTCTTCTTGATCTTTTCTCCAGATCAGTTGTTTTTCTTATGAGATGTTTCATATTTTCTTCTATTTTTTCATTCTTTTTATTTTGTTTTATTATTTCTTGGTCTCTTAAAAGCTCATTGACTTCCCTTTGCTCAATTCTCGTTTTTAAGGAGTTGTTTTCTTCCTTAAGATTCTGGATCTCCTTTTCTAGTTAGTTGACTTTCTTTTCATAATCTTCTTGGTTTTCTTGGGTGGTTATTTTTTTTTAAAATTCTTCAATCTCTCTTATTTGATTTTCAAAGTCTTTTTTGAGTTCTTTTAAGAATTATTTTTGGTCAGGTAACCATTTCTAACTTTAGAAGCATTAATGAGGTAAGAGATACTGAGTCCATTGTATCAAGGGAAGTTTTTTTTTTTTAAGGCAATTGGGTTTAAGTGACTTGCCCAGGGTCACACAGCTAGTGTCAAGTGTTTGGTCTGAGGCCGGATCTGAATTCAGGTCCTCCTGACTTCAAGGCCGGTGCTCTATCCACTGTGCCACCTAGCTGCCTTAGGAAGTTTTTTTTTTTTGTTTTGTTTTTGGTCATAGGAGAAGATGAGCACTTATGGGAAAGGAGCTCAACTCTTGTCTTGGCTTTCCAGAAGACATGTACCTGGAGGGAATTTTTTGGACAGTGCAGAGCTGAGGTGAAATGTGATATGCCCATTTAGCTTCATGTCCTGGTGATTTTAAGACTGAAGGTCCCAGAGGAGCATAACAGTAGTTATTATTTATTATATCCTATGCATTTATTTTATCTAAGGGAAGTAATTAAGTATTTCATATTTGATTCATGATGTATATTGAGTACGTTTTTACTTTCCCATTGGGGTACTATTTCTACAAGTTTTAATTTGTCTACTAGACCCTAAGTTCCTTGATTATAGAGACTCTGGTATTATTATTTGTATCTCTCTTCTAGATTAGCAGAATGGCTTGCATGTAGACAGTCCATAAATATCTGTTAAGTTGAATTGTTTTACCCAAGGACTGAAACAGAAACATTTGCCTATTAAGTTGCAAGTAGTCTACAAAAGTTTACATTGAGTGTGCTCTAGCCTAAAGATATCAATGATTGGTTTATTTCCCTAATTCTAATAACTTAAGTCTCCTGCTTGAGGTTCTAATGGTATTGTGTTTGTGGATCTTTATACCACAAGAAGTTTGGCTAGCTCAAGTGAGCTATAAATGTTTTATTTTCAAATGTCCTTGGAATTATTGGATTATTAATTAATCTTAATGAAGCTTATTAAAGAATTAAAGAATTTAATAGAATTTTAATTGACATGAAGTTTTTGAAAATAAAATTTTAATGAATTTTTCTATGGAGGTAATTTTAAAAGCGTGTGAAATGATCATTTATAGTTGTTATTTTTATCACAGAAAATTCAGAATCTTAAGAGAAGGTGAAAATGGAAGTTCTCAGCAATAATATTAAACAAAGATAATTTATGTCTACTTATTTTCTTATTCTAAGATAGATACCATGTGAGTCCACTAAAATCTCTACTTGTTTGTAGTTGAGAAAACTAAATTTGGGAAATAATCAATTAGAAGAAGTTCCAGAAGAGCTGATGTTCCTTAAAAACCTGGAAATCCTCCATTTATTTGAAAATTTAATAAAGTCATTTTCACCTAAATCATTTGGTAAGTCAGTATCAAAAACTTTTTAAAAACATATTTACTTTACCTATTAAAATTTAAGAGTAGTACCAAAGGCATTGTATTTGAATTTTTTTTTTTGGTTTCCATCTTTTTATTCAAATGTTTATATATCATTTAGTTTTGAGAATATTTTATTTTATTTTTTTTGGAAACTCCTTTATTGTTATACTGTGTGGTTTTGAATGCCTATTTCTAACAATATCAAGCGATTAGTAAATTCCCATTGCAGAATCTCTAATCTTCAACTTAAGTTAGGGGGATGTCTACCCCAAGCATGTGAAACCTTCCCCTGGTGGAATAAATAAATGAGGACAATCTGTTCCAAAGGCCATGAAGGCAGTTGAAGCAGGTTCTGTGGAGCACTGAGAGCTCTGTCAGACATCAACCATTCCAAGATCATCTGCTTTATCCTGGGCCACTGATGGTCATCTTGACTTTTGTCCTGCCACTTGACTTCTATGATTCAGGAAGAGACAGTAAGGCTCATGACTTTGCACAACTCTTGTTTTGCTTAAATTCAGTTCATGGGCAAGTCAAGATATCACCTATCATCCACTATTTTCCAACAACATGATGTCCCAGATATAAAAGCTGGTAGACACTGTAGTGGATACTACAAGGTGTCCATCCAAATCCATATGAAAATCTAGGCATCTGATACTCTTCATCCACTTGATTTTTCCTTGTGGAAGGATAGCTTAAAACTCCTTTAAGTGGCTGTTGATCTGTTCCAGGAGGAGCTACAATGTTCTGAGGCTTAATACAATCAGTACAATGTCATCCACAAACAGGAGTATCTAAAGGACTGTGCCATTAATGAGGATTCTCTCTCTTTGACTTAGACTCTGCTCTGGATTTCTTTGATTACAGTGATGAATATCCTTGAAAAGAATATAGTTCCCTGTTTTATGTGTCATCTGATGTTTATTTTCAGAGGGTTACTGAACAGAAATTTCTGTTGTTATAGCTTCTAAGAAATCATAAATGATTTTGATATATATATATGAAGATACTTCATTGTAAAAGATTCTATAAGGGGGCATTTAAGTCTATAAGGGGGCAATAAGCACAATAAGATCTTGTATTCTATATGTCTTTCAGCTGTCAAACAGTAAAGAGGTGTAGAATATCACCTGTGAAAGCCTGTTTATTTCTTTCTAAAACTCTAATTAAGGATGCTCTCAATCTGCATATAAATGAGTCTTATAAAGATTTTGTACAGATGGGAGAGTTGACATAGAGGTTGGTAGTTAACAGTGTTTTTTGTCATTTTTTTCTCATTATCAATAAGGACTGATTTCTTTTTCTCTCATCTGGATCTTTCTTTCTTCAGAGACCTTATATATCAGTCCCCTAAGACTCTGGCAAATGTGTTGCCTCTAGCATCAACCTCACAATTGTGTTACCTCTCCTCTATATATGCTTAGTTTGATATGTTTGCTTTTACTGTCGTCGTGTTCTCTTCACCGCCGTTTTTACATCCTCTATAAGCATATCTAAAACTATGATGTTATTGTTCAAGTGTGGTGGTTCTACTGCCATTGATAGAAGGACAGTTTGTTATAATGATTTTTGCAAGTCTTTTTCATTTTTCTTCTGTTTATAGCTGTTGTTCCTTTTTCATCCTTGAATGCCTTTGGGATGCCTTTGCTTAGCTTGGATACCTTTCCCAAGATTTCTTTAAATTGCTTTTGCTCTCCATTGGCTTCTCTGTCCTTTAGAAGCATCTTCTCAAAATTGTCCATCATCCTTCTTTGAAAGATTTACAGTCTAATCCAGTGTTGCTTTTGAAAGTTTACATTCTAATTTGGTGATGCCTTTGGCAGCCATTTTTTCAATTTGCAAGAGATTCAAATCCTTACTGACTAAATAGCATTCTGAATTCTCTTAGTCTCCTTGTTGGGACAATTGATTTATGGTTAAACTTTTGGAAAAATTAATATAGTTGTAGATATAATTTCTGTTGTTCATTTCCATTTTTAAATTTTCAATTATTTGTTTAAACAATTCAATTAAGCTACTTCAGTTGTACATCATATATTTTTCTCTTTGTTTTTTTTAAACTTATTCTGATCTTAGCTTTGATGAGCATTCGCAGATAGCTGATGATAAGTTTCTCAAGTCTTAATAGATTACAACTCTTAGTAGGCTTGTTAGTTAGATTTATCATTTAGTAGGATGTCATATTCAATTAAGAACATTTGGAAACCTATCCATGGGAATCTTTATTCCATTTAGACTCTTTGTAAGACCTTCTCCATAACATCAGCAAACATCTTGAGTATATTTTCCTGTCCAGATTCATCATCATTTAATGTTCATATTCAATGGAACGTTGAATAATATAATCTCTGTAGTTTTGTTTATCACAGAGACTTGTACTGTTTTAACATATGTGTGAAGATAAATTCTTTAAGATAGAGACTTTAAAATAGCATTTTGTTTTATTAAGTCAAACTCAAATGCTGAAATGGATCCGTAATCTTATAAATGTATATATTCCCTCCACCAATGCAGATTGCAACTTGTACATCCCTGACCATCCTGTGTGAGTCTCATACATATCCTCCCATAAGTTCATGAGAGATGTTCCAGCCAATATGCTGAGGACTTTTTCTTTTGACATTGTGATAATACCAATGGAGTAAACAGGCTGTCCATCATTTATCCCTTGCCTACCAGTCTATCTTTTTTTGCTCAAATATTTAAGAACATATTTTAATTGGTTCTGCTTCACAACTTCTTATTTGTAATATTTCAGTCTGATCATACCAACCAAGCATCTGTCTATTGCTCTCTAGGTGATAACCCATTTTAAAGTCTTTGGGGGTGGTCATGATCTGAAGCCATACAATCTCATAGAGTTTTAATATGAAAAATGGGCCTTTTTTAGGGAGAAGTTTCTTATTAAAAATCTTTACAATTTTCCAAAAGTAACCCAGCTACTACTCTCTAATTTCATTTGTAATATATATATATATATATATCTCTGTATGTGTGTATTTATGTGTGTCTATTTCTACATTGATTGATTAACTTTATAAGTATTCCAGATAGCTTTTTATAATTAGTCTGGATACTATTTGGTTTTTCCCTTGTGGATGGTTAAACCAAATTCTTTTGAATGGTTATGAATGCTCTGCAGTGTTTGGGACTCAACCAACCCATACAATGGTATCAGAAAAGAAGAAAACATCGAGGACTTCACTCGAGGAAAGTTTGCTTCAATTTGGGTTCTAGATTAGATCTCCTCCATAACAATGGTGAACACATTTGTTAAGGATACATCTCCTTGTTTTGTGTCTTGCTTGACATTAATAACCAGAGAGTTATCAACCAAGGTTATCAGTATTTCATATATATACATATATATATATGTATATATATATATATATATACATATATATATATATGTATATATATAAGAAAATCTTGTAAAGAATTTTACATGTTGATGGGAGAAAAACCTTGTTTCAGAAAACCTTTTAAGATGATATTTTATTTTACCAAATTTTATTTTTAACTAACAAATAATAAGCATAGTGGGACATTTGAGTCAGTCGTTTGATCATAAAGATGTAGACTATTACCTTCCAAAGACTGCCTATTCTTTTTGAATAAACTCATCAAGGATATTCTCAATATGAATATGTACTATTTATTCTCATAAAAATTTTATTTAGATTTATTTAGAAAGTAAGCATATAGGAATATTCTCTCATTCTCTTATTTTTTGTAGCAATAAGATTTGAGGTTTTTTTCCATACCTCTGGCATCTTCCTCTTCTTCAGATATTTTGGGAACTGATCCTTAAACACTCTCACGGTTGTGTTGTCTTGAACATGGACTTTCTCTGTGTGCATATTGTGTAGTCCAGCTGTTTTTCCTATTATTTTTCTCTATAGTTTTTTTTTTCTGTAAGTGCATCTCAGACTGTGATATTACAGTTTAAGTGTGGTACTCCATTGTCCTTGAGAGTGAAAAGAATTTGTTATAAAGTTATTCATCTTTTTCATGTTTGTTGTTCTTTTTTTTTTAAAAAAGGTATTATTGATGTTATTAAAAGATTTTTTATTAATGTCTTCTTTCTTTTACATCACCATGCTTTCCTCCAGTATCCTTCTTTCCAAAAAGCCATCCCATATTAAAAAATAATATTTTTAGAGATAAAAAAGAGAAAAAATCAGTAATAACAAATCAACACATAGAAAAAGTTTAAAATATGTGCACTGTGCAACACTATTGGATCTCCCACTTCTGCAAAGGGGGTGAAGAATCTTCTCATATCCCCTAAGTCATGTTTGTTCATTGTAGTTTTTTTTACATTTACTTTTTGTTCTTTCCATTTACATTGTTATAGTTATTTTGCATATTGTTTTCTTAACTCTACTTCCTTAACTCTGTATCTCTCCATATAGATTTTTCTAAACTTCTCTGTATTCATCTCATTTTCATTCTGAAGGATGAATATGCTTAGTTGGCTTTTTTCTTTAAATTGATTATTTTCCTCCATCTTCTCCATTTTGTGTGATGATACTGCATATAATCTTCCACCATCCTTTTCTATAAGATTTTAAAGAAAAATTTACATTATAACCTTTATTGTCCTTTATTGTCATAACTTTCTAGTTGAAAAGTAAAGTTATATTTGCCAATAAAGGGCTTTTTTTTTTAGCACTTTAACTCTTTTGGTTTCTTTACAGCAATTGATTTTATTGGTTAAATTTCTATATGAAATAATTGTATTTGGTGTCAATGTCCTTTCTTCCATTCACATCTCATTTCTTGACATTAAAAATGTGTTTAAATAAGACAGATTAGAATTTTTAGTTACACATTGTATCTTTTTCATTTTAATTCTAACTTTCTATTACTTTTAAAAAATTTTATTTTCCCTATATATGTAAAAACTATTTTAATATTGATTTTAAAAAATATTGAGCTCTAAATCCTCTCCCTCCTTCCCTTCCCCCTTCATTGAGAAGACAAACAATTTGAAAAAGGTTATACATGTGGAATCATGGAAAACATATTTCCATATTAGTCAGTTGTGAAAGAAAACACAGACTAAAACAAAACCAGAAAACCCAAGAAAATGAAGTTTTAAAAAAGTTTGCTTTGATCTACATTCAGACTCCATTAGTTCTTTCAGTGGAGGTTTATAGCATTTTTTATCACAAGTCCTTCGGAATTGTCTTAGATCATTGCATTGCTGAAAATAGCTAAGTCATTCACAGTTGATCACTGTACAGTATTGCTGTTACTGTGTACACTCTTCTCCTTGTTTTTCCCACGTCACTTTGCATCAGTTCATGTAAGTCTTTCCAGGTTTTTCTGAGAGCATCCTGCTCATCATTTCTTATAGCAAAATAATATTCCATCACAATCATATGCCACAACTTGTTCAGCCATTCCCCAATTGATAGGCATCCTTTCAATTTCTGATCCTTTGCCATCAGAAAAAGAGCTGCTATAAATATTTTTGTATATATGGGTCCTTTTCCTTTTTATCTCTTTGGGATACAGACCTAGTAGTGCTATTACTAGGTCAAAGGGTATTCCCAGTTTTATAGCCCTTTTGGCATAGTTCCAAATTGCTCTTCAGAATGGTTGAATCACTTTATAACTCCATCAACGATGAATTAGTGTCCCATTTTTCCCACATCCCCTCCAACATTTGTCATTTTCCTTTCCTGTCATATTAGCCAGTCTGATAGGTGTGAGGTGGTACCTCAGAGTTGTTTTAATTTGCATTTCTCTAATCAAAAGTGATTTAGAGCATTTTTTCATATGACTATAGATAGCTATATATTTGAGAAATCAGGCCTTTATCAGTGAAACTTGCTGTAAAATTTTTTCCACAGTTATTATTACTGACTATCCTCCATCCCATTTTCAGTGAGAACTTGGGAACTATCTTTTTATTTAGCTGGGTCAAATGCTTTTTTAATGATAATAATGACAGATAACATGTATATAGTGTTTACTATGTGCCAGGCACTGTGCTAAGCACTTTACAGATACTCTTATTTGATCCTCACAACAACCCTGGGAATTAGCTGTTATATTGTCTTGATTTTACAGATTGGGAAATTGAGGCAAACCGATGTTAAGTGACTTCCAGAGTCACTAAACTAGTAAGTAATTGAGGCTGGATTTGAACTCAGAAAGATGAGAGACTTGTTGACTCCAGGCCCAGTTCTTTATCTACTATGCCACCTAGCTTCCCTGAATCAGTAAACAATGGTTATGGGGGAATTTTATATTTTCTGCACCTGTTAGTCAGTTGGATTCTGCAAAATATCTAATATTTTGGATAGTGTTAGATTTTTAATTTTGTGATTTTAAAAAAAAATTGATTCAAAGGCTCATTTAGAACCTTTAATTTCTATTTTCTGGCTTTAGGGATTGAGAGCCATTAAATCATTCAAGTTCTTTGGGAATTGCTTTAAGTACGTTATATGAGCTAAGTTTTAATTACCCAGTTCTAGTTATCCAAAGGTGAACAATTCACATTTAAATGTATCACTGTCAAATCTGGTTTTCAAGTTTGTTATTAAGCTCAGACTACTTAAGTGTTTACTTACTGACATCTCCAGTTCTTTTTGTTTACCTTACTAAACAACTTACTGGTCAGAAAAGCTCTTTGAAACTCTAATACTTAAGTACCTTTCCTGTTCATGAACAGGTCTGAAGAGGGAGGGATAAACTTTGCATCTTTCTGTGAGGGAACTATCTACTTGCTTGATAAAGTGACTTTTCAGGAAGAGTCAAACAGAGAAGCAAAATGAAGAGAAATGAACTCAATTTTATAAAGCATTTAACAAGCATCACCACACTTGACAATCACAACTTCCACTGTGAGATAGATTCTATTTTTGTTCCCATTTTGCAGGTGAGGGAATTAATTTTTAATTAATTAATTAGTTTTTAGTTTTCAATATTCACTTCCATAAGATTTTGAGTTCTAAATGTTTTCCCACTCTCTCCCATCTCTCCTTCTCCCCCCACCAAGGATGTTGTGCAATCTGACATAGGCTCTACATATACTTTCATATTAAACATATTTTCACATTAGTCATGTTGTAAAGAATTATAACCAATAGGAGCAACCACTAGAAAGAAGAAACAAAAAAAGAGAGAGCAAATAACATGCTTCAATCTGCATTCAGACTTCATAGTTCTTTTTCTGAATGTGGATAGCATTTTCCATCATAGTCTTTTGGAGTTGTTTTAGACCATTGCATTGCTGAGAAGAGCTAAGTCTAACAAAGTTGGTCATCACACAACGTTGCTGTTACTGTGTACAATGTTCTCCTGCTTCTGCTCACTTCACTCAGCATCAGTTCATGCAAGTCTTTCCAGGTTTTTCTGAAGTCCGCCCATCATCTCTTATGGAACAATAGTATTCCATCACATTCATGTACCACAACTTGTTTAGCCATTCCTCAGCTGATGGGTATTCCCCTCAATTTCCAATTCTTTGCCACCACAAAAAGAGCTGCTATAAATATTTTTGTATATGTGGGTCTTTTCCCCTTTTGTATGATCTCTTTGGGATATAGACCTAAAAGTGGTATTGCTGGGTCAAAGGGTATGCACAGTTTTAGACCTCTTTGGGCATAGTTCCAAATTGCTCTCCAGAATGGTTGGATCAGTTCACAACTCCACTAACAATGTGATTAGTGTTCCAATTTTTCCATATCTTGTCCAACATTTATCATTTTCCTGTTTTGTCATGTTAGCCAATCTGATAAGCGTGATGTGATAGCTCAGAGTTGTTTTTATTTGCGTTTCTCTAGCCAATAATGATTTAGAACATTTTTTCATGACTATAGCTTTAATTTCTTCATCTGAAAACTGCCTGTTCATATCTTTTGACCATTTATGAATTGAAGAATGAATTGTATTCTTATAAATTTGACTCAGTCCTCTATATAGTTTAGAAATGAGGCCTTTATCAGACACACTGGTTGTAAAAATTGTTTTCCAGATTACTGCTTCCCTTCTAATCTTGGGCGCATTGGCTTTCTTTGTGCAAAAACTTTTCAATTTAATGTAATTGAAACTATCAATTTTGTATTTCATAATGTCCTCTATCTCTTGTTTGGTCATAAATTCTTCGGTTCTCCATAAATCTGACAGGTAAACTATTCCTTGCTCTCCTAGTTTGCTTAAAGTATCAGCCTTTATATCCAAATCATATACCCATTTTGACTTTATCTTGGTATATGTTATGAGATGTTGGTCTATGCCTAGTTTCTGTCATACTATTGTCCAGTTTTTCCAGCAGTTTTTGTTAAATAGTGAATTCTTATTCCAGAAGCTGGAGTCTTTGGGTTTATGAAACAGTAGACTGCTATCGTCATTGACTACTGTGTCTTATGTACCTAACCTATTCCACTGATACACCACTCTATTTCTTAGTCATTACCAAATAGTTTTGATGATTGCTGCTTTATAATGCAATTTAAGATCTGGTATGGTTAGGCCATGTTCCCTTGCATTTATTTTCATTAATTCCCTTGATATTCTGGGCCTTTTGTTCTTCCAGATGAATTTTGTTATTATTTTTTCTAACTCCATAAAATAATTTTTGGTAGTTTGATGGTATGGTAATGAATAAGTAAATTAATTTAGGTAGAATTGTCATTTGTATTATATTAGCTTAGCCAACCCATAAATAATTGCTATTTTTCCAGTTATTAAGATCTGACTTTATTTGTGTGAAAAATGTTTTGTAATTGTGTTCACATTGTGTCTTGGCAGGTAGACAGGTGAGGGAATTTATGAACAGAGATTAAATAGCTCCAGGTCACATAGCTTGTGGAAGAGGCAGGACTCAGATGTAGGTCTTCTTGACCTTGAGTCCAGTGGCTATCTCCTAGGCCATACTGTCTCTTTGGCATCCTAGCAACTTCTTGGCTATTGGGATTTAGAATTGGAAAAAAAAATTAGAAATCATTCAGTCCATCCATTCATTTAACAAACAATAAAATTGAAGGCTCAAAATGATACAGACTTTCCTCAAGTCACATAAGTAGTCAGTCATTAAATATTTTTTATGTGCTTACTATGTGCCAGGAACTGTGTTAACTGTTAAGGGCATTAAAACTGTAGAAAATATAAATTGTGTGTCTCCTTAATTTGCTAAAGATTCATTTTTTTCAACAGATGGCTTAGAGAATTTGAACATTTTGAATCTGAATCACAACAAGCTTAAAACGATTCCTCCAGAAATAAACAGGTAATTTTGTTTATAATACAATTGCCCAGTCCCTCCTCACTTCCCTCACCCTAGTTTTCTGTTGCAACTAATACTTGTTGATACATACACATATAAAGATCTAAAGAACTGAGACATCATTAGTCAGAAGAATAAGAAGCAACATGGCTTCATGGCCTAATGGCAAAACTGGGCATTTAAAATTCCCAGGTCTTTTTGGGGGGGGTGAGGCAATTGGGGTTAAGTGACCTGCTCTATCCACTACGCCACCTAGCTACCCCCAAAATTCCCAGTTCTAATGATGATTGTGTCCAATCCATTGATGCACTCAGTCTGTGTTGTTTCGTGTTAATTTACTATAAAGTGGTGATGTTGGCACTTCCCTCATATGATTGTCATAAAAATGAGTAAAGTATTGAGTTTGTTAGAAAAGTTAACATATCCAAACACAGGTTTTAAGAACCAGAGCGTTATTTTTTAAACCCCACATTTTATTAATTTTTTTTTAAAAAGGCTCTGTTTTCCTTAGATTGTACATGTGTACAAATCAGGCTGCCACTAGAGTATCTTTCTCCAAACCAGCTGAGAGAGCTCCGTCTTGGACTTTTTTGCTGACAGATGGAGAGAGAGCCTTGTTTGGGGTTTACTTTGGAGATTCTTTTTATTGCCTTCTGAAAAGAAACAGATGTATTGCTAAGTAAGAATAACCAGATTTTTTTTTAAGAGTAGAAAAAAATATGAACAGCCAAACAGCACAGGACATTCTACAGTACACTTAATCCATTCAGATAACTTGCTTACACCTCTTGTCAATATATTTTGTTTTTCCCAACTATGTTGTTGTTGTTTTTTTTCCTGGAGGGGGAAAAAATCACATTTTGGTCAAATGTTACATACGAGGGATTGGATACAATTAAGATTAACATCATCCGTGCAGAAATAAATTATGTTAATAAAAATGTTTGTAGTCAGTTTACATACTTTTTTACTTCTTTTCCTAATCAACATATTTATGCATTAATGATGGCATCCTGGGTTTCTGATTTTATATTTTTAATTTTCAACAGTTAGTGAACAAACATTTAAGTGCTTACTGTGTGCCAGACATTATGCTAAGGGCTGGGGATACAAAGGCAAACAAAAAGAAAGAGTCCCTGCCCTCAAGGAGCTTACATTCTAGTGGGGGGGCAAGGAAGACAACATATAAAAGTATACAAAGGAGCTGAAAAATAGGATCAGTTCGGAGGAGGAAGGTACCAGGTGAGGGAGGGGGGAAGATGGCTGTGATGTCTGGAGAGTCAGAAGCAGAACCAGGAGAGGAATGAAGAGAGGAATGAATGAAGACTGGCTTGAGCTCCTCCTCAAAATGGAAGTCCTAAGAGAAAACCACAAATGGGATAAGAGGGCATAAGAGGTGGAGGAGTGTTCCAGGGTGAGAAGGCAGCTAAGTCTGGGGAGGCAGAAGCAGAACTAGGAAGAATAGTGAGGAATAAGCATTTATTCAGCACCCATAAACTTTGAGATGCCAGGGGCACCGACATACCACAATAGGGCATCAGAAGAGGACTTAAGTAAAGAGGCCCACTTATTAAAGGTAGAAAAGTATTTCATTCTAGCAATACTATTCATCTCATAAACCAGAAATTCTTAATCTTTTTGTGTCATGGATCATTTTGGTGGTCTGATGAAACCTATGGATTCGTTAGAATATTGTGTTTTTAAATAAATAAAATGCATAAGATTACAAAAAGAATCAGTTATACTGAAATAAAGGTATAATTTTTCCCACCCAGTTTACCTCAGGTTAAGAACCCCTGTTATAAACTGAGTAATGCCCATTTAGTAGGTGTGAAAATTTGTTTTAATAGGTTCAAAAGAGGTATGAAGCAAATTCCTTCTAACAAAAACTAAGCAAATATGTACAAATTGGATTTTCTTTTTCTTTTTTTTCCTAGTGGGGGGAGGTGAGAGGGAGAAAAAAAATGTCTGATAATGGGAAAAATTTAATTAAAAAAACAAACTAAGCAAACCAACCTATGTATGATTTCCTGTAAGAGGTGTTAGTAGAATAGAGTTCAGTGCAAAATTTCATTCATATACTTTAATTTTTAGATTACAGAATCTTAAAAGCTTGAGTTTAAACAATAATCAGCTAACTGATATTCCTAAGGAACTTTGTTCCCTGGCTTGTCTTTCTGAAATTCAACTAAACTACAATCAAATTGTTTCCATCCCTGAAGAATTTAAATCTATGAAGAATCTCAGAAAGCTGTCCTTGGCAAGAAACCTCATTGATGTATTCCCAATGGTAAGTAAAGTATCAAAGTCAAGCTTTACTCCTTTGTGTAAGGTAGAAACTTAGCAAAACATCTTTAAACTGCTTAAATGATAATAGATAGCACTTATATAGCCATTTAAGGTTTGTAATGCATTTTGCAAATATTATCTCTTTTTATCTTCTTAACAACTCTGGGAAGTAGGTACTATTTTTATCTCTATTTTGTAGAGGAAGAAACTGAGGCTGAGAGATTAAGTGCTTTTCCCAGCATCATATAGATAGTAATTGATATTAGATATGAACTTAGGTTTTCCTGACTCCAGGTCCACTGAGTGATAAAAATTTACCCAGGGTTCCACTGATTAGGTACTGTGGTCAATCGCTGAAGTAATGATGCAGAGATTATTACTGTATTTGCAATGTATACTACACTCAGAACACAAAGTCAGAGAGCCCAGAGCATCAGTTTTAGCAGCCATACATGAATGAATGCATATGAATATGTAAACAGCATAGAAAAATGGAATTTTACAGAAAGCAAGAGGGGGCAGATAAGGGAATACATATCTGGAATATATGTCAGGAAACAAGGAACAGAAAGGGGAAGATAAGAACACCTTCTAGTGGGTAAATGTTATGGCTTATTTCTCAGCCTTGATACCTTAGGCATTAGGACCTCTGAACTTCCAGGAACAATGTTTAGAAGCTCAAAATAGACACTGAGGAAATATTGCCCTCTTAACACAACAGCAGCAAGAAGCCTGAGCCAGTTTTTCCTTGTCACAGTCTTTCTTTTATCAAAAAATCTGAGCCAGAAATTTTCATGTTGCAACCATAGCACCTCACTGCTTAGCTGTTTTAATAAGCAGAATTTATCTTAGATCTGCAGACCATATGCTGAATTCTATGACTCATTTGTATGATCCTAAGCAAGACATCTTATACCCTTTGACATATTAATTTCTTTCTTTTTTTTTTTGTTGCTAGACAATGGGGGTAAGTGACTTGCCCAGAATCACACAATATTAATTTCTTATTATAGTGTATATGGTCAATTCTCAACCAGCTCTGCCAGTGGAAGATAGTTATATTGAGGTCAATCCAATATACTAATAATATAATATTATATATCCAAATAATATTATACATTATATACATGCATATGTCTACATGATACATACATATGCACCATGCTCCAATAGTCTTAGTATAATTTTAAGTTTTAAAAATTTTGGATGTCTAAATGTTAACCACTTACAAAATATGATTTGAAAGTTTATTGGATTTTCTTTTGCAATTAGTTTTGTGAATTTTGAGTCATACATTTTAATTTTACCAAGATGGGGCACCCTGTTATTATGCATTGCATGTGTGCCAGTTTCTAGATGACACTTTCTCATACCAGCAGATCAGTAGGGGAAGTATTCTAGTTTCACCACCATGGTCACCTAATCTATCTCCATTAATTTTTTTTTAATTGTAGGATCTTCTATGTATCAGAGCCTCATTCTTTGAATGATATTAAAGGCTAGAATTACAAGTGAAATTCTTTCAGTCTCTGAGTAGCAGCTGATGAAAGTTTTTCCGAAGTTTGAAAATTGACTACAGTGGTATCTAGAGCAAGGTGTTAGTTATGTTGACTTTTAATAAGAAACATCAATATTTAAAAATTGTAACTAACCTTTTGAATGATATTTTTTGTAAATTAGTAGAATGGACACTTTCTGCTGTTATGAAAGCTAAATTCTGTACTAAAACATTTGGGGACACCATGTATATTTGGCTTTGCAGTACATTCCACTTTGGTGGGATGAGGGGTGCAACAGGTATTAGGCTTATCTTTATTCTTTCTTACGTTGTTTAGCCTGATATACCTGAGCAAGCATAAACTAGGGATAGGAAGAAGCAGATAGGGGCTGGACCTGTGATTTCAATGGCATAGGGTACTTCCAGGTGAGGAAATTCCTTCAACAATGCAGGTTGGCATCTTCTCTGCAACTTATAATCTTCAAAAACCAGGCCCCGCACAATATACATCCCGCCAAAGGATTTTAGGTGGCCTGAGAAAAATGCAGGGTGGCCACTGTGCATGCTCCTGCTTGTCACGTGACCCACAGCAGCCAACCGTCTTCACTCTGTCTCTTGGCTAACCTGTCACATGACCTACAGCAACCAACCATCATCAGTCTGTCTCTAGTCTAACCTGTCACATGACTTACAGCAACCAACCATCATCAGTCTGTCTCTAGTCTAACCTACCTGTGGCTAAAAAGGTTCTGGCCTAGAGCATGGAGATACGAAATGACTTCCCTCTGGTGATAGAGTTGGTGTGTGTGTCAGAGGTGAGATTTCAAGCCGGGTTTTCCTGGCTGTGAGCCCAAATCTCTATCCACTACACCAGTGGTGTCAAACTCAAATAGAAATGGATCCTTCAGGCTCCATATTGACTTTTTGTTGTTCAGTCACATCTGACTCTTTGTAACCTTGTGGAATATCACACATCAGCACTCTCCATGAGATCTTCTTGGCAAAGATACTGGAGTGGTTCGCCATCTCCCTCTCCAGTGGATTAGAGCAAACAGAGGTTAAGTGACTTAAACAGAATCACAAGGCTAGTGTCTGAAGCTGGCCCTGTGCTCTATCCACAGAGCCACCAAGCCATCTCCTTGACTTAGGAACCCACAGATTAACATTATATATGTTGTATTGTATTTTTATATATTTTGTTAAACATTTCCCAATTATATTTTAATGAGTTTCCTTCAAGCTGCGAGTTTGACACTTCAGTACTACACTGTGCAGTTCCATGCAGGAGACAATAAATTGAGGTATAAAAATTTGAGGAGCTAATCCACAATGGAAAAAAAAATGCATTTGAACAAGTGACTGACCACAAACACAATAGATGTTTTAAAATGCCTTTATTTTTAATTGTTTCTTATTTCATTTTTTACCCTCCTACCAGTCACCCAAGTTTACACATAACCTTGGTTTTATCCTTACCTCCTCATTCTCCATCATCCCACATATCTAATCAGTTTCTAAATCTTGCACGATTTCTTTCAAATCTGTGCCCTTCTCTCCTCTTACAAACCACCACCATGAGAGTTCAGATGAAATGAGAGTATAGACTCTCATCACTTATTGTTTATACTATTGCATTACCCTCTTAACTGGTCCTCCTATTTGAAATCTCCCTCTTCTTTAATCCATGCTCTCCACAGTTGTCAAATGATGTTCCTAAAGTTCAGGGACCATCTATCTCTGCTTCTCAATCAACTCTTCACAATCGGAGCCCCACCTATTTCCAAACTTATTAAGTATTCCTTCTCTCGGTGCTCCAGCCAAATTGGTTGTTTTGCTGTTTCTCGCTCCATCTCTTCTCTTTGTATGTTTGCCCACTCCTCATGCCTAGAATGAATTTCTTCCTCATCCCTGTCCTTTAGATTCACCTGAGCCATCAGAGCTTTGTTCAAGTGATACTTTCTACATGAAGCCTTTCCTGATTCCCCCAGCTGGTAGTACCCTCCCCATACAAAAATTCACCTTGTATCTATTTTGTACACACACATACATATGTATGTGTATATGTGTGTATGTGTATATATGTGTATGTATATATATAATAGATACACATTTATGTATGTATGTATGTATGTATGTATGTGTGTACTTTAGATGCATGTTGTCTCCTTGCATAAAATGTAAGCTCCTTGAGGACAAGAACTTCTTTATTTTTGTTTGTCTATTTCCAATGCCTGGTACATGGTAGGTACTTAAATTTACATTTATTGGTTATCTCTTTTTAAGTTTCTCTTTAGAAAATTTATTATAGTAATTTACTTTTATTTTAAGAATATATGTCAAGAGATATATATATATGTACACATACATGTGTATGTACATGGCTATATAATAATAATAATTAACATTTATATACCACTTATTATGTGCTTTACAATTATCTCATTTAATCCTCACAATAATCCTGAAAGGTAGGTGCTATTATTATCCCCATTTTACAGATGAGAAAACTGAGTCAGAGGTTAAGTGATTCACACAGCTAGTAAATGTCTGAAGTCACATTTGAACTCAGGTCTTCCTGATTCCAGGCCAGCAGTCTATTCACTGTGCCCCCTAGCTGCTCCATTAAAAGTATTACCTTTTAATATCTTAATATGTGACATTTAAAAAAAAACCCCAAAGGCCATGCATGACTAGCAAAGATATTCAAATGACAGCATATCTCCATTGCAATGTTTGTGTTGAGAGACAAAGATGACAGCCAAGGGTTTCAAAAATCTTACACAAATGTAAGAGTTTTTTATTCTTTGAGCTGATGGTGTCTTAAAGAATTACACAGAGGTTCAATTATGATTATTTCACAACCTTTCTGATGTTTATAACTTGTAATATGAGGATATTAGTACTTGTATTATTCAACTCACAGCATTGTGAGAAAAGTGCTTTGTAAACTTTAAAGCACTAAATGGGTCATTCAACAAGCATTAATTAAGTGCTTACTACATGCCAGGTGATATAAAGTACTGATGAGACAACGAAAGGCAAAAAACATGGTCTTTGCCTTTAAGGAGCTCACATTCTAATAGAGGAGAGAATGAAGAAATACCTGTGTACCTATCTCTCTCTGTATATATCTATGCATATGCACACACATATATGTAGATATGTACACACATATTTTTACACACACAAAAGGTAAATAATTTCATAGGAAAAGCACTAGTAGTAAGGGAGGGGGAATCAGAAAAGGCCACTTGTAAAAGGTGGGATTTGAAATGCCTTTTTTTTTTTTTTGCTTTTTGGTGAAATGGTCAGGGTCAAGTGACTTGCCCAAGGTCACACTGCTAGTAAGTGTTAAGTGACTGAGGCTGGATTTGAACTCAGGTCCTCCTGACTCCAAGGCCAGAGCTCTATTCACTGTACCACCTAGCTGTCCCTGGGATTTGAAATGTACTGAGGAAAGCCAGGGAAACCAGGAGGAGGGATCAAGGAGGGAGAACATTCCA